AGAACTGTCAACATTACAAATAGATCATCATTATATCTAGCATTCGAATTTTTTTCCAAATAACAAGTAACTAGTTACACATTTTATTTGATTAGTAACTTATTTTCCAGTTATTACCACAAAAAAACAATGTTTAAGTATGATGATAATAACCTCCGCGTATAAAACTCGCTTGAATTTGATTTATGCCTTTATTTTCATTCTTCACATATTCTCAAGCAAATAAAATATTTATCGGATTAGTTCTTCATATCTCTAAACTTTCAGTCTAGATTTTGATGTGAATTACACTATTGATACTTCCGAGAAAATTTCTTCCTGTTCTCATTATTTCGTAAATAGATAACTCTTTGCTTTGTTTATCGATATCAATGACTAGTACACTATACATATATCTTGAGCAACCTTGGCTGTAACATTATGATAAACAATTTAGAATAATCGTGTATTCTCAAGTAAGTCTAATTTGTCAAATTTAGGTTCTACATTATAGATTATACATCATTTTCTTCTGACTTACATCATAGATATTAAATTGTTCGACAAGATCTGGTTCAGCTGGTTTTCGATTAAGAAAAAATTGTGTACATTTTTGCATTCCTTGCTTTTCTAATGCATCTGTCATATCATAGAATGTATCTTGATCAGGTATAGCTGATAAAACTGTATTAAATAATGTTATTATTAATAGAACAACTTCTGATGCTGAATTATCCATTTCATTTAAAATTTTCATTGCATTTGACCATAATAAATGTTTTGCTGCTCGATCAACATGTGTTACAGCTGATAGAATTAATAGTGCATTTGTTTCTGTATATTCAGCAAATACAATTAGAAGTTTTAAACTTGTTTTAACAACAAGTCGAAACTAGATGAATAGAAATAATTTTTTTAAATTAAAAGGAAAATAATCAAGTTTTCAATTCATACATTAGATTCAACTAATGAATAAAGCCATTGTACTACTTCATTTTGATTCATCACAGCATTCATTCCATCAACATAAAGCATCAATTGACCGAGTGCTAGATAGTAAAATAATTTTTCTTAAAGAAAAATAAATGGAAAAGTCTTTATACCTCGTAAAATATAGTTTTGATAGTTTTGATCAGCTGCTCCACCTATTTTAACTAAACATTGTAAACCCTGATTGTTAACAAACTCATGTACAAGATCTTTATCATCCTTTAAACATGAAAAGTTATAAAATTTTGTAGTTACAATAATAAAACATTTATTTTACTTGAAAAATTTGTTTCAGTGAAAAAAGTGATCGTCGTAATTCTCGTCCATCTGAATTTAATAGTTTGTCTACAAGCAAAATATTTTGTTTTATCAATGAATCATATTATATGTTCATTCTATTTTACCTATACAAGCATTAACACGCACACTTAATTGAGTACGAAGGACAATTGACCATTTACGTCTAAATTTAAAAATAGAAAAACAAGAAATGCAATATGGTGATTAACACAGTAAGAGAAAAAAAACTAAAGGGCATGTATTATGATTGATTGATAATAATAATAATATATAGATAGAGAAACATATAATGAACCCATGTGGATCAATATAAATATGAATAACTACTAACCCTTCTGTAAAAGCGTCAATGTCTTCTCTTTGTTCATCAAGTGTTTGATCAAGTTCAAGATATGGTCCAAGTTCAGTTCTACTTCCATCTTGTCGACATAATTGAAGTGTACAATCAGCAACCTAGAACATATGTTTTTTATTTTATTGTATAATCATGAGAATTAAATTTACTTTATGTGGTGCATTCAGTACTTTATGTATACTACTTAATTGATTACTTAAAATAGTTGATGTAAGAAATGTAAATGATGGTGGTCGAGCTGGTTCAGGTAGATTAACACTTGAAAATGGATCAGTATCATCAAGATATTGTACACGACATTGTAATGTTGGTGAACTTCCATTTAATCCAATACTTTCACTGTAAGTATTAGTTGTCGATGAAGCTAATGATGAACTCGACATTATGTTCGATATTCGAACAAATTCATTGCAATGGAGATTCTTGAAAATGACTTCTACTACATCATCTAAAATAAATATATGTTTTTTTTATTTTGTATAATATTTGGTGAGTAAATAAAAATCTTTAGCTGTTTTGTTTTTTTATCAAAAGGTCAACTAGAAAACAAGGATATGAATATAAATCGACATACTAAATGAAACTTATTTATTGAAATATTACTCATAGGACGCGTACTCTTTTTTATTTTTATGAAACTCGAAGGACCTTTTTTTCCTGTTATATATGCATAAAAATGGACGTCAGTATTAATATATCAACGAGGGAAAGGAAAAAAATGTTCTCATAAGCGCGCGTAAACAGTCTATCGCAATGATCAAATAGAGATCATCAGTATAACAACAAACTACAAGAGAAAAACCAGTAGGTATCGTCGTAACTTCTTCTTCTTCTTCTTCTTTTTCTCTTTTTTCCTGTTCTTCGTTTCTTTCCGGACAAAAAAATACGAGAAAATTATGCAACGGAAGCATATAGAAGATTCTTCGTTGTATATGTATATATATACATATATATATATATATAACACTCAACAGAACAATGGAACCCAAAAAGAGAAAAGAAAAATGACGGCGTTTTGTACATATTTGCCAATGAGTGTATAGGGAGAAGAGAAAGAAAAGCTTATCTTTCGCCATGCTTCCACTCTACGAACATCTCTCATCTTACCTCCCTTACATATATATATGTATATATATATACGACATAGTTAAGCATCGAAGAACTTGCCTTCTTTTTCTCTCTCTCTCTCTCTACTCAAACAACAGTAGTATAAAGGCGAGATAGATGTTGTTGTCTGCATATTATTAGAATAGGGTAGTAAGAGAAGTAAAGAACAATATCAATTTCTGACTTTTTTTTGTCTAATACGACGATAGATATTAATGAACAACGGAATTAATAATGTTATTCAGTACAATATAGAACTACTGTTGACAGCCTATATTTATAGATATGAATTATATTTTTCCCAAAACAAATTTTCGTCTAATAGAACAAAGCAAAAATAAAATCTGATCTTATACATTATTACAAAAAAAAACAGCAGACGATGTCAAACAGTGTTCATATGTAAATGACTCTCTATCAATCGGGTATAATTGCCTTAGTATAATAATAGTCTGTCGTTTCTAATCTCTCTCACCATCAATCGATGATCACCTTTGAACAAAAGAATTGAATTGATTATATATATACATATGTATATATGTCTCAAAATGAGTTCGGTCATTGGGAGTAAAAAAAAAAAATTTTCTTTTTTTTCTGAAACTTAACATTTCAAATCAGTTGGAACAAAGATACAAAAAAAGAGTCTTGATAACTAATTTACTAAAATAAAGAGATTTTACTATTGTTATAAAAGAATAGCAATATGTATTCAGGGTCAATGTAGACAAATAATAAATTACTACATCTCTAGAGACGACATTTGATATAACTGATGACATATATTGCGCCACATTTGCACTAACTGATACTCCACAAATAGTGTACAATCAAGGTTTTCCTTTTCTGTATTGTCCTCAAAATCGATAAATATTGATTATACAATCAATAAGCTACTCTTTTCTACTAATATTTTACTTTTAACACTTGTATCATCAAATTTATTTCTAATTTTTTTCTAAATATAAATTACATGATTATCATAGCTGATTAACTCATTTAGCTTTTTCTTTTTAAGATAGATGATGTTGTAATAACAATAGATAACATGTACATACCACGCTGTGATTAATCGATTACTGACAATAGTGATTTATCATTATTTTATATTCATATATAAAAAAAATGTTCTATTTTGAAAAACGAAAATATCAAAATAGATGATGATGTTTATGCAATCTATTATATATTTCAATAGGCCGTTAGATGATGCATGAAGTATATTTGATTTTATCAATTATTCGATTGATATCACCAATCAAGGATATTCATTAGTGATTTTATATGGTTAAAGATTCGATATTTTTTTGTTTATATGTTATTTAATTGAAATATTGTTGTTATTTTTCAGTTTTATTTCAATGTCAAAGATAACTACTTTTATAAAAATTAGTAAGAGAAATTCTTTGATTCCTCGATCTAACTACAATGTCAAAAGCATTTTGGAATGTATATAACGAAAGATAATAAGACAAATAAATAATGTAATGACTCCTTGACCGATATCTCCTTTATTTTAACAGACGAACGAAAGACGAGTAGAACTAGTATCTAAGTATATAAATAATTTCTATTTATTATCGTTTATTTATTTATCTTAAGAGAAAAGTATACCAACGGATTCCAAGCTTTTGGTCATAAGTATATGAATAATAAGAGGGAGAAAATTGTTCATGATTATGACATATGATTGTTGCGATATGACTCACTATATATCAAGAATAATTTTCTGTTTTTGCAATACTATATGTTATCATCATACTCAAATGAATCATAAATCTTTTTTCTTACGATAACACATTTTCAATACATAATTAGACAAGAACATTAAATACTAAAAAACGTTCTACATCAGTCAGAACTAACGGTACTAATTTAATTAGATCAAATTAATTGCTCTCAAATTTACACTAACAATTGATAAAATCAGGAAGGTAAACTATTCGTAACAAAAAAGAAATCCACTTACGTAAAGTCTTGATTGATATTTGATGAATGCATTGATAGTTTTAACATATCCACTTGTCATCCATCCATTGTTTTATTTACATCTAGAAAGAAAAACAATGAAGTTTTATACATTGTTTTTTTTCTTAACTTTATTTACATATATTCATGTATATATATATATACGATCCAAAGAAAAAAGAAAAAGGCGAAAAATGAAATATCAACTATACAAAAACACTAACAGAAAGAAGAAAAACACAAAAAAATGAATCAATATAGATATTTTATTCTTAATTGACTTGATTTAATGGTCGTAATTTTTTAATACGTTTCCATTCACCAGTTGATGTATTCATTTGAAAGAATGTTTCAGCAAAATATTGTTGAGGTTGACCTGTACTTTGATCAGGTATTGTTTCATCTTTTTCACTTAATTTTATTGTTACAATTGGATTGTCTGACTTATTATCTTCTAGTGAACGATCTATGGAATAGAACGTTGAAAGAAAAATAAATTCATTTCAGTACTTTTACATACCACGAACACCAGCAATAAAAGTTAATATTCGACTTTTATCGGTTCGAGTTAAACATGTACTTGTACGAAAAAGATCCCGAGCAAATGTAATTTGGTCATTCTAAAAAACAATTGTATGATAAAATATTTAAGAGAAATATAGTATAATATTTACCGTTAATTTAAGATCGGATCGGATCGGTGAAGTATTTAATAGTCTATCTTGTTCGGATGAGTTATTATTATTATTATTATTGTTATTATTGTTGTTATTATTATTATTGGAATAATTTCTATCTATACGTGATTGATGAAGACCGTAGATTATATCATTTGCCGCATCTATTCATTGAAAAAGAAGTTTTCAATCTATGACAATAGAAACGAATACTTACTATTCATTACAGGATTAGGTGTAGCTGGCATTTCATTAAGACTTAGTGGTGCATACGTTGCGTGCTAAAAAGAAACAGAATACTTGAAATATACATATTAATTTAATTTATACCGAAATCAAAGGAGTAAATTGTTCAAAATTATTTGGAATAGAAAATTCTTGTAGTTCATTATGAGTCGTAGTAGTTGTTGTTGGTGTAGTTGATAAATCATCAGTTGTACTATCGAGTCGATCAATACTTTGTGGTTGTGTAGTCGGTTTTTTACTACGATTAGATTTTTTTTCAGTAACATTGTCATCATCATCCACTATAAATATAATAAATAATTAAATATAAAAATTTAATTGAATTACTTACCGACAGTTTTCTTTCGTTTTTTATTATCATTCAATGCTTGTTCTTCTTCTAATGAAAGAAGCTAAAATAAAACATTAAATTAATTATATACAAAACAAAATAAATAGTTTTTGTTACTTTGACATTTCCTCCTTCGCGACGATTATGTAAACGTGATGTACCACTAATTCCTGATGTTGTACTTATTGGATTTGATTTAAGAAAACCAACATTTGACGGTTTCGAAGTTGGAGTTGATGAAGAATAAAATGATGCTATATAAAAAAAATAACTTCTTTGAAAGAAAAAATGAATTCTTATTTTACAATATTCATCAGCTGATCGTCGAGATCCAGTAATAGCTGCATAATCGGATGTTTTCTTAGTTTTAGATGTTTGTGCACCTAAATAATCGATTGATACAATAACAAATAAATATAATAAGATTTTATCAAACTTTTTTCTAATAATTCTTGTCTAATTCTTGCAGATTTTGCTTTACGTATAAGACTAAAACATTTCGATGGATTTGGTATATCACCTGTTAACATTTTTAATGCACTTCTTCCTAAATAACATGATTCTAATGGTAAATGTGTTGTATCATTATTTTTTTTAACTAAAAAAGAGATAATCAATGCATTAAAATATAGGAAAATAAAAAAACGAAACAAACCTGCTTTTCTTAATTCTTGTATACCATCAGTAAAACCTTCACATTCTTGATCAGTTAAATCGAGATTAAATAATGATTTATCTGGGAATGTTTTCATTATTTCACTAATAACAGCAACCCATTGATCACCAACATTATCTTTTCGACTTAATTCAACAATATCTTGTAACAAACTTTCCCACTAAAATATAGAAAAAAACAAGATTTTTTCATTCAATATAGAAAAAGAAAGTTTTTTTCGTGCTATTTACTTCATTTATATTTCGTTTCGGTATGTGAATGAATGAAAGTAATAATTTAACTTTAACAAGTGTATCTAAACTCCATAAAATGGATTTTATGGATAATAAATGTTCTTGTGTTAATGTAGAACTGATACTAAATGATGACCATAGATCAACATGAGAGCCAAGTTTATTATGTAGCCAAAAAGCCACATCTTCATCTTTGGAACTAGTATTACTTGTTGTAGTTGCCAATGCAGTCATTGAATAATTTATAATCTAGTAAAAAAAATAAACTATTAAGGAAAGTGTACATGGGAATACATCCTTCATTCAACTTTTTTTTTTCATAAACTATCAATCATATGAAGGGAATAAGTTGTTAATACAAGTGACCAATAGAAAAATTCCATTTGAGATCTATTAGATTTAGTGACATCTTTTTTCTTTGTAAATAAATACATCACAAGAAAATTAGTAATTTACAGTTATTTACTAATTTGAAAATATATTAAATATTTGTAATAATTTTTTTTCTGTAATTACCTTGGAAACCAATTTGAATCTTATTTAATGAGTCTTGTAAGAGTTCATTCTGATATTTTTTGTTCTTTCAATAGCTACTTAATAATGGATATGTTTCGACTTCCAACTTCAACGAATTCATCGTCAAATGATATGATGGATAAAGCTAAACGTGTATGGGATATGCTTGATGAATTAGCATCAAGTGATCCAACAGCTTATAAGTAAGTTTGATCGGTAAGTGAGAGACTTTTTGTCTCTATTCGAATTCATGTTCTATTATTTATTTCTTATATAGAAGTTATATTCAAAAAACTCTAAAAGAAGGAAAAGAATTTATGGCACCACCAACACCTACGTTAGCAGTTGAATCTAAATTATATGTAAATTTATTAGAACAATAGTTATAAAAATTTAAGTATATTTTGTCTGTATTTAGAATAATTCTAAAATCAAAATTTTCTATTTGAATATATTTACTTGGACACGATTACCAGTTCCAGAAGCAACTGATGAATCAATAAAATTTTATCCTCTAAAACCAATAGAAACAACTCATAATAATAGTAAAATTTTTATTAGATTTTTGTTAAGCTATATATAATATATTTATATTAAGAATGTTGTATTATTATGAATATTGCTGTACATCCAAATATAATGAAAGATATTCCTCATGGTCAGTTAATTCAATCAACATTTCATTTAATAGCATCACAACATAATTTTCAAGTTGATTGTGATCATTATAAAATTCTTGATGAAAAAATGATCGGTAATATTGAAGAAATTCAAAAAAGTTTTCTTAAACCAATATCAAAAAATAAGGAAAATAATGAAGATATTGAAGAATTATCTGATAATGGTCTTAGTCCATCATTAATGAAACAGCTTTCATCAATGACTATGACTGATCAATCAACATCATTATCATCTAAGAAGCAGGAAAAAGAACAAAAGAAAAATACCAAACCGCCTGTATTAATTGAAGAATTATGGACCATTCCAACATTTACAGAAGAAATTACTAATAATAATACATCTTTAATTATTCGTATTTCGTTACCTGAATGTGAAGGTGTAGCCGATTGTGATCTAACTGTTTTACCTTTGGAAGAAATTGTACAAATTGAATGTTCTAAACTACATATGCGTCTAAAACTTGATATGAAAGAACGCAAGAAAGTGAACATAGAAAACTGTAATAGTACGTTTGATATTGAAAAATTAACTGCTAAATTTGTACGCAAAACACAACAACTTATTCTTACTATTCCAATTCGTATAGAATCAATAACAAACTGATTATAAAAAAGGATGTGATCAATTTTGTACATATTACTATTTATTGTAACAATTAATTTGTTGAAATAATAAAAAAATTGTTTTAGAAAACTGTTCATTTATACATTCGAATTTCACTGAAAATATATCTTCGACACGCGTTGAGAGGCAATTCGTTTTTTTCTAACTACGTTGCAACGTGTTGTATAGAGAAAGCGCATCAAACCGCATGTTTTTGTCTAACCACCTTTCCACATGAGTCGTTTTTCATGATTCTTTCACTCACAACACATTTATATTACACGTAAAAAATAGTCAATGGCAAGTAGCAAATCAGACGTTACCACGAATGCAAATGCAAATCGGTGTGTTAACTTGCAAAGAATGCAAAATGTTGTTTTAGTTTGGTTGGACAGCAACATTGACGATAATAATGATGATGGTAATAATACAATCAAGCAATTGAAACGTGTAGTTAACAACGTAAACACATTTACAGATGATAAACAATGTATTGAATTTATTCAAACCATTACAAATAACAAAGTATGTCTGATTGTTTCTGGTTCACTTGGACAACATATTGTGCTTCATGTTCATGATATGTCCCAAGTAGATACCATTTTTGTTTTTTGTAACAATCAAAAATGGCATGAACAATGGGCCAAAGAATGGCCGAAAATAAAAGGGGTTTTCACAGATATAATACCAATCTGTGAAGCTCTTAAACAAACTGCTCATCAATGTGAGGAAAATGCCACTTCAATTAGTTTTGTAGCATCAACTATGAAATTAGACCAATTAGATCCATCATTTATGTATACTCAAATTTTGAAAGAGATCTTATTAACCATCAACTTCGTAGGTGAGCACATCAATGACTATATTCAGTACTGTCGTGATGCATTTGTCGAAAATGAGTATGAATCGCGTAAAATTACAAAACTGGAACGTCATTATCATGATCAAACACCTATTTGGTGGTATACTTATCCATGTTTTCTATATCCTATGCTTAATCATGGATTACGATTAATGGATGTTGATATTATTATTCGAATGGGTTTCTTTATTAATGATTTACATCGTGATATTCAGCGGCTACATTGGGAACAATTTGATGATGATTCATCGGATAAAATATTTACAGTTTATCGTGGACAAGGTCTTTCGAAAGAAGATTTCACCGAAATGACAAAAACTAAAGGTGGACTTCTTTCATTTAATAACTTTTTATCGACTAGTAAAAATCGTGATGTGTCTCTAAAATTTACTCGGCAAGCTGCTACAAATCCTGATCTTGTTGGAATTCTATTTGTTATGTCTATTAATTCTGCTCGCTCAACTACTCCATTTGCTTCTATTAGTGATGTTAGTCATTTTCAGACGGAAGATGAAGTTCTCTTCTCTATGCATACTATTTTTCGCATTGAAGATATTAAACTTATGGATGAAAATAATCATCTCTATCAAGTGAATTTAGCATTAACGGATGACAACGACGAAGGTCTTCGTAGTCTTACTGACCGTCTACGTCAAGAAACTTTTCCAGATGTAGAAGGATGGGACAGATTGGGATTATTGCTAATTAAAATGGGTCAATTTACCAAAGCTCAAGAAGTTTATGAAGTTTTACTTCATCAAACAAGACATGAAAGTAATAAGGCACCGATTTATCATCAATTAGGCATGATTAAACGTAATCAAGGAGAATATCAAGAAGCACTTATATATTATAACAAATCACTTGCTATCGATCAAAAAACTCTTCCTTCCAATCATTTTAAGTTAGCTTCTTGCTATAACAACATCGGTAACGTGTATAAGAATATGCATGATTATCCAAAAGCACTTTTATTTCATGAAAAATCCCTTACAATTCGTCAACAATCACTTCCACTCGATCATCCTGATCTGGGTGCTTCCTATAACAACATCGGTAGTGTGTACTACAGCATGGGTGATTATCCAAAAGCACTTTCTTTTTATGAAAAAGATCTTGTAATTGGACAACAATCACTTCCTTCCAATCATCCTGGTCTAGGTGCTTCTTATAACAATATAGGTTTGGTATATTCGAAGATGGGTGATTATTCAAAAGCACTTTCCTATTATGAGAAAGCCCTTTCAATTAAACAGCAGTCACTTCCTTCCGTTCATCCTGATTTGGCTTCTTCCTACAACAATATCGGCATGGTATTCTACAATATGGGTGATTATTCAAATGCACTCTTATCTCATGAAAAAGCTCTTGCAATTCGACAACAAGCACTTCCAAATAATCACCCTGATTTAGGTGTTTCCTATAACAACATTGGTAATATATATACAAAGATGGGTGATTATCCAAAAGCACTTTTATTTCATGAAAAAGCCCTTGCAATTCAACACCTATCACTTCCACCCAATCATCCTGATTTAGCTACTTTCTACAACAACATCGGTATAGTATACTATAACATGGCTGATTATTCAAAAGCACTTTTATCTCATGAAAAAGCTCTTGCAATTCGACAAAAATCACTTCCATCTAATCATCCTGATTTGGCTTCTCCTGATGGCAACATCGGTAATGTGTACAGAAAGATGGGTGATTATTCAAAAGCACTTTCATCTCATGAAAAAGCTCTTGCATTTCAACAACAAACACTTCCTTCCAATCATCCTGATTTGGCTACTTCCTACAATAATATCGGTATGGTGTATTACAATATGGGTGATTATTCAAAAGCATTCTCATATTATGAAAAAGCTCTTGCAATTCGACAACAATCACTTCCATCTAATCATCCTGATTTGACTTGCTCCTACATGGCAATCGGTAATGTGTATTATAGCATGAGTGATTATCCAAAAGCACTTTCTTATTTTGAGAAAGCTCTTACAATTCGACAACAATCACTTCCGTCTAACCATCCTGATTTAGGTGCTTCCTACAATAACATTGGCAATGTGTATAGAGAGATGCGTGATTATCCAAAAGCACTTTTATCTCATGAAAAAGCTCTTACAATTCAAGAACAATCACTTCCATCCAATCATCCTAATTTAGGTAGTACTTACAACAATATTGGTTTAGTATATGACAGTATGGGTGATTATCTAAAAGCACTCTCTTATTATGAGAAAGATCTTGCTATTGGACAACAATCACTTCCTTTCAATCATCCTGATTTGTATACTTCATACAATAACATCGGTGCGGTGTATGAGAATATGGGTAATTATTCAAAAGCTCATTCATTTTATGAACGTGCTGTACAAAATGGACAACAGTCATTATCATCAAATCATCCCACTCTTCAACAATTGAGGAAAAACCTTGAAGATATCAAAAAGAAATTATAATTTGCTTTTTGTATTTTTTTATTGAAAGTAAAATAGAGTGTGGATGTATTCTGAGATGAATAGAGAATTAATTCTTGACGTGTACGGCCTCGAGTCCTTTAAGTTTGAGAAATGTACTATTGTCAATGGCATGTCGCAGCATTCTTCCGAATGTGGTTTTGCTACTTAAGACTATATCAGGTGTTAGCACACTTAAATAATGATTATTTCTACTATTCCAGAGATGGACTGCATAGTTTGATGTGAAATTATAATCATTTGACTCAAAAAATTTGTTGGGTTCGTTCCAGCTGGGGCGAAAGAAAGTATCAGTAGGCAACACCATTACTTCGTCAATGTAAATTGATGCTAATTGTCCTGGAAGTTTCACTGAATGACAATCCCAACAGCTGCTATTGTAACTTTGATAGGAATGGTATAAGCGTCTGAGGAAAGCTGCATTCTTCTTAGCAAGGATCACTGCATTGCAAGCTGTTTTCGGATCATCATCTTGGTGTGCCATAACTACATCGCTTATATTGAGCAATGGTGCAAAAGAACGAAGCACTAAAACATCTATGTCCAAATAGATTCCACCATATTCAATGAGTACTTCTAATCGCATAATATCTCCACGGTGAGCATGGTGATCTACTGATTTTTGAAAAATCCTTTCTACTAGTCGACTCTTAACAAGTGTAACATTGATTTCAGGATCATTTTTTGTTTTATTCCACCAAAATGTATTCGGTTCCACATAATAATGAACTAAAATTTTCTCTGGATGAAGATGACGACGAGCAGAAAGAAATGTTATGTAGTTGATAAATGAGAACTGAGAAGAGACTTCGTATTTGTGCTGAGCTTTTCCTCTGTCACCTTGTCCAATGACAAAATGCACAATTACTGGAATTCGATTGTCTTGTACTTGACGAGAGAGTCTACTGACTGTCGTCCTAGAACAAAGTTTCCAAGGACCAGCGAAAAATAAAACGAGTGAAGTAAATACGATAAAGATGCAACAAAAATGGCTTATCTTAAATTCGAAATTTATGCACATGGTTGATTGCAAATTTGAGTGTGTCATTATCCATAATTGATCGAGATGTATGATTTGAGAAAGATTTTTGAGGTTGTTGAAAAAGAAATTGGATCCATCAGTTATAAAATTCTTCAAGAAATAGATATATCAATAATCTAAAATTTGTCAGACTAATATAGTATGATAGGTCATAAAATGTGAAATAAATCACTTAAAAAAGTGTGGGTGAATGATATAAATAATACCTATATCCACGTACCAGTTTTAATCAATTTATCGGGAGATGAATCCGTAGGTAATTGAACTCTCAGACCACACATAATTTTTAGATAGCTGTCGGGTCATAGAAAATTCACTTCCAGAAAACAATGACGATGGCACATTATGCCTTTGAAAGGTCCTGGTAACTACGTTATTAATATCGCTCGTCTTGACTATATCATCCAGATTATGAATTATAAAACAACGTTTGTATATCTCGACACTCTTTTCAATGAAATCTCCTGGCTTTTGAATTTTATTTTCGATTGATCAGACTTACCTTATTCGTCGCTTCTTCTACAGTTACTGGAAGAAATAATCGAAGTGCTCCGTTTCTTTTGTTTTGATTGAAATGTCTGATTTTTCTTTCAATGACAAAAAAATCTTTTGTTGAATTTTTTTCCGTTCTTCTCCAGATTAATAAACATGCTTCTCTTATTGTTCTTTTAAAGTACATCGGTGAAAAACAATACTCGCAAATGATTTTCTCAATCTCGAACCATCTAGAATTCTTATTTTCTTTTATGGTCAGGTGATTTAAAAGTTAATGATAACTCAATATTCCTCGATATCGATGGTGTTTTATTAAAGCAGTGAGGGTGTGTGTGTGAAGTATAATACATCTACACACACGCACACCCATTTGATCTAATTCTGTGACAAGAACTCTGAAAGCTTGGTTTTTTTTAGAAGTTTCATGGCTAAAGAACGGCATTGCTTGTTGTTGCAAAACAGAGAGAAAGAATTCATGTTTTGTAAGTTTCTTTTGATGATATAACATTATCTCTGGCATATATATGAAGGTTTGTTCTAATCTATTACAAGCACAGATGAAATTCTTTCAAAGTGAGTAATATTATTATCACTTGGAAAGAGAACCAAGAGTTCTTACCAAGTTTGAGTACTGACTTTGTTTGTCACTCTTCCTAAGTCGATATAATAAAGCCTTCATTCAACATTGCTTATAATTTGTGAATCGATTGTCCTCTATGCATTTCTTCATTTCGCCAAGAGAAATCATTAGTAATATATACGTGAAAAGGGCAGAATGTGAGTGTGGGTGTGGACGTTGGTGTGGGTGTTGGTGTGGGTGTGGTGTGGTGTGGGTGTGG